CAAATTGTAACTAGTCAGATAGAACGGCCTTTGGCCAAAGTCCTACATAGCCAACGGCTGATACAGGACTATAATGGAATAATAATAATAATGATAGGCTAAGCCCGAAGGACAGCTTTCAGAGACCCACAATAAAGCTATTCATGCAATTCTTGGCTTTTTAAAGGACCAGAATTATGTTCTCCCTTTAGCTGTATGCCTAGGGCCCTGCTGTTATAAGTAACACGAAGGATTCTCTCCTTGAAGAGGGACGATGAGGTTGAAGGCCAATCACGTCTACGTCAGAAGGTAATGATCATCGTGGGGCGAAAGTTACGTGACTATGGCATCCCGCCAAGACGTCGCCTCCGGGAGGCCAGCGCAGGAAGGTAGAACAGGACCTGAGGCAATGGGTATAAAGGATGACCGGTTTGAGGGCTGTAGCGGTTATGTTTACTCAGTGGCCTTCTCGGACGACTCGACCCAGCTAGCGTCAAGGTCTAGTAACAAGGCTATCAAGATCTGGGATGCGAGCAGTAGGACGTGTGTGCACACGCTCGAGGGTTATAGCAATAATGTTAGGTAGGTGAGGATCGTGTGAACCTGGTTTGTACATGTTGTGCAATAGTAACATTTTGTTATCCGCGTTGGAGCCACTTGCTGGCATCAGACATATGCGCCACCCGAGATGCTCTAGGTTAGCGTTGAGGCTGTCATCACTGTGTTGCGTTCCGAGCCTGGAATAGAATAGCGGCACATTGTCCCTATGGCTAGTGTCCATGCTCACGAATTGAATATGAATATGAAAATGTTTTAGGCAGACTTATTTAGTAGTTAGATCTCTACAATTAAACATGCTACATCACATATAGTTACTGGTACAAGAATGATAGCCTATTTCCGGCGGGCTAGTACGGTCCGTACCGGATGCGCTTGCTTCTTGGCTGGTGACCTCCACTTTATCCTAGACACAACCTTTTCTAGTCTAGGGTGAAGTATGTCAAGATAAATTGGTGGAAGTAGCTGCTTATTCTAATAGAACTCAGAGGTAGAGGTCTCTGCCTTCTACTTGTTCCTAGTAGACTCAGAGGCA